ACCGAAATTTTTTTGGCGACGGGGGGGGGGGGTCGACCAAAAATTTCTGATCCGGAAAAATTTTTTTGAACCAGTCGGTTGAATTGACCCTATTAACACCCCCCCTGAAGAATTTCCTGAGGACGGCCCTGCATGTCCATTGTCTGTTTCTAGAGCAAAATACAGGGTGTATCAAAAAACACGGAACAGATTTTAAATTGCGGCCGGATTTATAACTTTAATCTTTATTATATATATGATATGTGCTGTAAATATGTTGAAACTGTAATGTTGCAAAATCATACTAATGACTCTTAGTCTTATTTCAATCATTGGTGTGACACATGTATGTTAGAGATCATTGTAAATTCGTTATAGATAAGCTGAATTGAACCAACCTATGTTAATGACATTATTGTATGTATTTCATGATCAAAATATGTAGGTACGGTTTCAGGACCGAAGTTATAAAATGTCGTGACGAACGCTAATTTAGTTGGAATGGTTAGAGGTCGTAAAGTGTCAGACCAGATTGTTGTAATTAACGTATAGTATTTGTGTGTAATAAAATTTGTAAAACAGAAAAGTTAGTGTTGAACCAGCCGTGCAGAAATATTTGTTGAACAAAGCCAGCGAATTCTGCGACAATTGGTCCCAATTTCGCAAAACAGCTATTAGTATCCAGCTTTTGATATATATACAGGGTGTATAAAAAAAAACGCAACCTCGGAATTTCCTAAGAAATCACTTTGCAATTCTTTAGTATAAAAGATTTTAGGCCCCTGGGAATTGAAATCGAATTGCTAATAGATCATATTACTGTTGTTGTGATTAAATAAATGCATAAATTTTGCTTTATGCATTCGCGTGTGCAGTAACTTTGACAGTTATCCTATTCTAAATTCCCAGGCGCCTAAAATCTTTTGTCTTTAAAACAATGTCGATTTCTTGTGAAATTCCGAGGGTGCGCTTTTTTTATACACCCTGTATAGCTTCTTTGGATACTTATAATGTAGAATAATGAAAACAATCACGCGTGGTAATACACGGTATTGTTTATAGTCATGAAATTGTGTTTACCCAGCTGATGACGTCAGATAATTATTTTGTGTCAATTAGCATCATTGAACTATAAATAAACTGGAATGCTAACTCAGGGGGGGGGATTGAAACCAGTGCATTTTAGTTTTTCTGAGTTATGAGCAGAAATACTCAACAATGAACGTTGGGCTATTTATCAAATTGAAGCTATTGAAAAACGCTATTTGGTGTAGAAATTTCAAGACTTTAGCTAAAAGGGAAATATTGAAAAACTACAAACATAATTACGGATAATTTGCCGTTTTGCAGTTGTTTTTGTATTTTTTAAATATTTTTCTTTTCGCTGAAGTCTTGAAATTTCCACACCGAACAGCAATTTTCAATAGCTTCAATTTGATATATTGCCCGACGTTTGTTCAAGTATTTCTGCTCATAACTCAGAAAAACTATTTTGGTTTCATCAAATCATAGGCCTTCATCATAGCAGTTAGCCTTCCAGTTTATTTATAGTTCAATGATTAACATACGCGCTTGTTTTCAAAATGGCGGACAACTGTT